TTGTTGATCAGGCTCAGACGTGCCCAACAATTCAAGAAATGGCTTGTGCCTTAGAAGATTGATCATTTCTGTTCGACGGTTTGGAAGCAAATGAGTAAAACACAACAATAAGGAAGCTTATATCGGAAGAGAGAAAGCAATTTAGACAAGGTTCCGAGCCTAAGGAGCTGGCTCCGAGCCTAAGGAGCTGGCTCCGAGCCTAAGGAGCCCGGCTCCGAGCCTAAGGAGCTGACTCCGAGCCTAAGGAGCTGGCTCCGAGCCTAAGGAGCTGACTCCTTAGGCTCGGAGCCAGCTCTTTAGGCTCGGAGCCAGCTCCTTGGGCTCGGAGCCAGCTCCTTAGGCTCGGAGCCAGCTCCCTAGGCTCGGGGTCAGCTCCTTAGGCTCGGAGTCAGCTTCTTAGGTTCGGAGCCGAGCACCTTAGCCTCGGAGTCAGCTCCTTAGGCTCGGAGCCAGCTCCTTAGGCTCGGAGTCAGCTCCGAGCTCCTTAGGCTCGGAGCCTTGTCTAAATTGCTTTCTCTCTTCCGATATAAGCTTCCTTATTGTTGTGTTTTACTCATTTGCTTCCAAACCGTCGAACAGAAATAATCAATCTTCTAAGGCACAAGCCATTTCTTGAATTGTTGGGCACGTCTGAGCCTGATCAACAACAAGCACTACTGGAAACAGCAACCGCCGGGCAAGTACACTGCCTGTGTCTCTGTGTAGAAAACGTTATGAAAAGAAAATATTTAATGTCGAAGCATGTAATGAAGACTCCGACCTTACAAACATGAAATGCTTAGGTTGGTAGATAGAGGAAAATGTGGAAGATGAAAAAAACGGATACTCGTTCGACATGGTGAAGGTTTCCTTGGACTGTTACTAAGTCCTATTTTGGAATGCCTGGCTGAACTTGTATAAAAGCCCTGTGACTACAAATTATACATCATGTCAACAATGAACATCGAGAGTAAAACATCTCCGCGACATTGGCGCATTGAAGATATACTTTTGTATCTGAACAATAATGTCAAAAAAACTACAGCAGAAAAATGCTACATTCTATACTTATATCAAGTGATATTTGAACTTGGAATCCTCAGGGTGAGATTGTTTATCATGGAAGAGACATTCCTGGTACTAACATGGAGAACTTATTACAATACGCACTTTTACCATACAACTCTCACATTCCTGAACCACGAGGGCTCGAACATTTTACAAAAGGTCTAGTAGAAGCAGGGGTTAATAAATATTTAATTAAAAACGAGTATTTATTGTCAAAAATGGCAAAGGAGGAACATGAAATGCCGCAATCTGAGAGTGATGTTGAAAGCGAATGTGGTGAAGAAAACAGGAAATCTGACAAGACTGATAATGAAAGCGAATATGATGATAATGAGGATGATGATAATGAGGATGATGGTGAGCCCGAGAAACTAGCTTGTAACCATTGTGGAGAAGAAACTGGTCACATTGTATACTTAATGAAGTGCCCAAGATGTTCGTGGAAAGATTTCTACTGGGGCAAAGACGCTCAATGTATGATATGTGATGAACAGTCACCTCTACTGTTTTCGCATGTCATTGCTTTCTGCGAGCTATGTTCGTATGGTACGTCTAACAGCAAGGCGAGCGGATTGGAGTTCACACCAAAAATGGACAAATAAAAGACCCAGCAGATTGGACCGAACGTGACGTAGCGCGAATGACTCCGGAAGCAAGAGAGGATTATGAACGTTTTATATTGAGCGATAGACCGAAATATATTCCAATGAAGCCGGAAAAACTTGCAAAGTTATCCCCAGAAGATAGACAAGAATATGAGAACTCTTTAAAAATAACAAAAACACCTAGACGTTACGCTCTTAGAAGTAGACCTTACTAAATTTTGTAAAACATTTTGAAGAAGTAAATGTGTTTAAAAACTGAAATATTGTGTAATTTTTTGCCGGCAAAGCCCGCTCTTTCCACCCGCGCGAAAAGATCCGTGTACAAATATGTTGTACTTTAATATATGCATGTACCCGCAAAGCCACGCGCCTGATTTTAAGGTATACACCTGCGTTTAAAAATAATCCCTATCTATCCATCGGGATACACTTAGTTATGCAAATTCGTATTACCTTAATCCCCTTAATTACCTTCACGCCTCCTAATGACTTAGCAACGCATAACAACACAACATTTGCAAAGTTTAAAACATGACAACTCGGGATTAGGAACTGTTTAGTTTAAAATATGTCTTGACTTTTGTGACGAATAGATTCCTCGCTATGGAACATACGAAAAATCCTTCAATATACCTGTGGAAATTTATCTCTTCCGAGCAAAGATACGGCTATAACTGACGAGCAAAGATACGGCTGCGCAGACGTTGTTAGTGGGGGCCTCGGCCACTAACAACGTCTGCGCAGGAGGCTACTATATAGCAAGTCTGAAAGTCTCCATAATTTACCTGGTATCAAATGAAATCTTTATCTCTTAATAATAGATACAAATCTACTTTTGATCAACTTCCAAATCGACCGGCAGACGGGACCAGCTCGCGCCTCACTTTCGGTTTTATTATTGACTTGTCAACAATTGTTTCATTGTTCAACGGTTGCCCTCTCACCAAAGCATGCAGTGAACATGACATTTTGTGGACCGCCACGTCTCATACAGTTTTGTCCAATCGGCAAGCAAGAAAATTTAATTTTGACATTTGCTATATAATAATTAACAATTATATGTTTGCGATGTTACTCTAAGTGCATATCCACACCGGGCGAGCTTGAAAAATATGCCCGCCACGGTGGGATTCGAACCTACGACCTTTGGAATACTAGCCCAATGCTCTTCCAACTGAGCTACGCGGTCAGGACGGTTCGAGTAAGTGATATTTCGGAACAGTATCTAGTTCCTTCGATGCCAATGTGTTCTAGTAATATGAATTTTTCTGTGTTGGTGTTGTGTACTCAGGTGAATAATATGTTTGCGATGTTACTCTGAGTGCATATCCACAGGTCGTAGGTTCAAAAGGTCGTAGGTTCGAATCCCACCGTGGCGGGCATATTTTTCAAGCTCGCCCGGTGTGGATATGCACTCAGAGTAACATCGCAAACATATTATTCACCTGAGTACACAACACCAACACAGAAAAATTAACAATTGTTTGTTATAATATAGTGTCAAAGTTCAATTTTTCTGTTTGCCGATTGGTCAAAACCGTATCACGTGCCGGTCCACAAAACGTCATGTTCACTGCATGCTTTGGCGAGGAGGCAACCGGTCAACAATTATCACTTATTTACTGAGACCGAGGGAAACAGTGCGCTTTTCGAGGGGCCACAAAACACACTGCTTTTCCGAGGTCTCAGTAAATAAGTGTTTTGTTATCGTTTTGTTATATAGTGATATATGTGTCAAAGTATCATGAAATAATTCACCGGTTATTGGAGTTAAATTTGAAACCAAAACTAGATATAAATGGAATGCCGTAAATGTTTAATTTTAAAAGTACGTTTAATATATAAAATAAACTTTGGAACTTCACGGTTGACACGCATGCGTGGATGGTGAGGTGTTAGCCAGGGTACCGGTGACCGAGGGGTGGCCTGGGACGATTACTGGCACTACACTGTCACTTGGACTCGGGTCAAGATATGCATGCCAGTGGTATCTTGAGCAGACCACCCCCGCAGGGCCAACACCTTCACACCAATTAACAATTGGTGGAAATATGAAAGAACACATACGTTTCCTATGCTTGTAGCGCACAATGATTACTGACAACACCAATACGCGGCCAAGCTCTTATTACTCACGTGCCCGGTCCTCTTTTCCGTCACGTGATGTGCTGACGTAACGAGGCTTGGTTCCCTAGCTGTTAACCTTTGTTATTGCCTAACCTCGTACATACTCTATGGAGGAATGTTGTTAAATTGTCACAAACTCGTAGTTATACTCATATTCCCAAGAGTTAATTAAATTACACTGTATGTAACACTGTGGAAAAACGTCTGCGCATGCGCTCGTTTACCAGAAAACTGGCGGGGAATTTTAGTAAGTAAGTAAATAAATAAAAAAACAAGGTTATTTGACTACGCTAAACTTTACATGCCAAATTGTAAACAAAAACATGGCGATTTAATTATGTAAGGTAATTGAAACAGACAAAAAATAAACCAGTCTGGTAGTAAATAAAAAGTAAGTTTTCTAACATTTAAAATCTAAATAAAAAACGATTTAAATTAAAAATATCGTGTTAGACCGGTGTGAACATTTCATGAAAAATTGTCGAATACCGAACTTAAGAGGCTTAGACGCAAAGAGTTAATCATTTGCACACGCTTAAATTGTAGAGTAAATCATTACCCTTGATATAGTCAACGCAAAAAATTATACTTGTTACGCAAAAAAGAAATTATTGTATTGTATTGAAAGCATCTTTGTATGGTTCAGTTAACGAATTTTATACAATAAATTTATCGACAGTCTCCTTTGGTTCAATTTCTTGCATAATACTACTTTTTGCACATGAATAGACTGTAATTATTTCTAGCTTTTAAGTTGTGACATTGGCATTATTTCTCTTGCATTTTCACAGAAAAGGCAAAAGATCGAAGTCACACCTTGTCTGGAGGTTTTGAAAACCTTCGGAATACTTGACACCACGTTTGCAAGACAAATTTCGGAAAGGTTAACGCATGCGCAGTCGTTTTTCCGCGGTGTTACGGTATATAATAAACATTTCTTTCACGGAATCAGACATAATGTGTCCATGATTAATGATATACACACTCTTGACTGCCCTTGACTACTTCTAACCAACCTGTTTTATATTTATATATTAGTAATAACTTTTAATATATAGTATATACTCGTGATTCTAATTTAGCTTATTTTTTCACTTCAATTGTAACACTCACCGGTTGTTTAAACAATAGACCTTTCCCCGTTTGAGTGAAATTTTGATCTAGACAGGTCTGGATAAAAATTTCATCACAGCTTGAAAGAGCATCGCAAATTAGTAATATTCCGAAGTTTCGTTGCGAATGTTGTAAAATGCGGATAGTATAGCCTTGCGAAATTTGCCGTTTTTCAGTCAGGTTTTGCATGATCATCTGATTATCAATTTCCCGTTTGTAATGCAAAATGACTAAAAAACGGCAAACTTCGCAAGGCTATATTATCCGCAATTTACAACATTTCGCAACGAAACTTCGCAATACTAATAATTTTGTGATGCTTTTTCAAGCTGTGATGAAATTTTTGTACGGGCATATCTAAATCAAAATTTCACTCATAAGGGGAAAGGTCTATTGGTTCCCTTCGAAGTCTTAAGTTTCATCATGTTATGACTCCGTCCAAAATTAAAAC